AGGTGGGCCTCCTGCCAGGACTGATTAGCCCAGCTGTTCTGTCCATTATTCCTGTTTTATTGCTTCCTTTCTCATTAAGGAAGGTGTTGGTTTGGATAACTATAAACAACATGTCTGCTGCTACAATGTTGCATCTCTTACACAGCCAGTGGCTGAAATCAGGTCCTCAGGAGTCTTTTAAAATATTTATATCACAGTTTTGGACACCGGATGTCAAGGAAATACAGGAAAAGGAAGCCCAGGTTTGAAAATGTGCCATACAAATGGCTTTTTTCTTATTTTTACTGTTTTTCTTTTCTTTTTTCTTTCTTAAAACTCTTAGTAGGGAAAATAAAACTATCAGGGATGTTTTCTTTAAGTCTCTCTCTGTCTTTCTCTCTGTCTCTCTCTCTCTCTCCTTCTCTGTCAATGTATCCACATGAAACAATCCTGACAGTCTAGAACCCTAAAATGTGTGGGAAAGGCAATGGAAGGGCTTCCCTATGCCACTCTGCCCCTAGCAGGCCCAGGGTCTCAGCAGCCGCTGGCCACTTACTGAACCCTGAACCGTTCTGTGAGTCCCTTAGAGCCCTCTTGGTCACATAAGTCCAAGGGCTGAAGTCTATCTGGAAACAAAGGAACTGAGAGGGAACTAAACCCCCAGTTTCTCTCTACCCTCACTTAAGTAATCTCAGCATCTGTACTTCCCCCTCCCCAGACAATGTGTGCCTTAAAATAACTTTCATTGGCACATCATTTCTCACTAGAAACCCTTTTTCTTTCCAGGGTCCTCTAATTTTCTCTCCGCCAGCACAGGGAGAATCATATTTACTCAGAAAACCACAGTGTTGAACTATAGCCCTCAGTTTCTTAGAGTTTCACTTTCTAAGGGAATTTTGCAGCTGGTTCCATCTGCTTTTCCTGATTTTCTCTTCTCCTCTGCCCATTTTGATTTCTTCCCCAGGCCCATCCTCCCCCCAGCCTTAATATACTTACCTCCACCACACTGCACTATGCTGGTCTTCTCTTGTCATAAAATGCACACAATTCATCTGTGCCCCAAACAGAAAATGCTCAGAAAATATTTGTCGATTTGTACTAACTATGCCTATAACTTTTAACATTAATATTTCTAGGAGCAGTTACAACGTACACTTCATATAGCTGATTTAGATTTTGTGTCAAAGTTCTACTTCACTATGTGTTTCTTGGTGTGTCTTGATGGGAATTGCCTCTGTTGAAAGTGCATAAATGAACTACTCTGAATGCTAATAATCTTCATGTGATTCAAAATTCTGTATGCATTTTTTTTTTTTTTTTTTTTTGGTTTTTCTCCGGTACCGGGAACTGAACTCACGACCTTGCGCTTGCCAGGCAGGCGCTTTTGCCGCTGAGCTAAATCCCCAGCCCCCCTGTATGCATTTTAAATGTTAAAATTTGCCTTTCCTTAGTATACATCTTGGATATTCTCTATCATCCCAACTGGTGTGTCCAAAGGAAAAGCAACCCATGCTGCAGTTAGATAGTTTCAAATACAGTATCTTGTGTCTTGGACAAGAGAGTGATGTTCACCATACACCAGACACTATTTTAACTGCTTTAGAAATATCAAGTAGTTGAAGTATCATAAAGTCCTCTGAGACAGATCTTATTATTGTTTCAGTTTTACAGCTGAGGAAATTGAAACATAGAGAGGTAATATACTCAAGGTCACACAATGAGTAAATAATAGAGCCAGGATTCAAGTATAGACCACCTCTCTCTAGAGTTTATGCGCATAACTGCTCTTCAATACTTTACTAATAACAACAATTGGGCAGAGGAGAGGTGGAGAACAAGAGTACTAGAGATAGAACCCAGGGCTTTGCTCATGCAAAGCACATGTTCTATATCCTCAGCCCCAATAACAATGTTTAGGTTGTTTCTTTCCAAATCTCCCGGCAAGACAGAGAAGAATTCAGATTAACCTTGCAGAGAGTGCTGTGTATTTTATAAATCCAACCGTTTTTCTGAAATCAAGTCTTCTTTTAAAGAAGACATTCAACTCTTTTTGAAATAAAACCATCTTGTACAAATTGCCCCTCCAGGTTTGGCATGGCAACCTCCAACTAAGAATTTATAGCAAATTTTCTCAAGGTACTGGTGTGAAACACATGGTATTTTCAATATCAGAACATTATAATGAGCTTGATCCTTCATAGAATCCTTATGGTATCCACAACACAATGGACAGTAATTTGCCTTTTAGGCTTTTGAATTTATTAGATCCTCTGCATAAATTATCTACTAAGCAAAGCAGACTTTCCCATTTTATCTCTGAAATCAAGACCCTAGTCTTCATATGCTGAATTAGCAAATAAATAAGCATTACTTTATTTAAATCTTTCATGTTGTTAAAGGCTTTCATTGCGTGCATTTATTTTTCCTAATCTCTAAGGTTTTTTTGCAATCGGTATCTGGTTTTCAATTCTTTGACCAGTTTACTTATGTCATGTAACTTCCTTAAAGAGTGGTAATTTAGCTGGGTGAAATGATACACCCCTGTAATCTTAGTCACTCAGGAGACTGTGGCAGAAGGATCAAACATTCAAGTCCAGTTCGGGCCACTGAGTGAAACCCTGTTTCAAAATAAAAATGAAAAGCACAAGGGATGTAGCTCAGTGGTAGAACACTTGTTTAGCATGAGCAAGGTCCTGGGATCAGTCCTCAGTACTGGTGGGGGAAGGGTGGGGGATGTGTCTGCTATGAACTAGTAGAAGGGCAAGTTTGGAATTTAATCAACTTCTTTGTATAACTACAGCACTACACTTTCCAATTATGTTCCCATTTTGTGCAGATACTCTTCTAGGAAGTAAACACACAGAAGTAAAGAAGAATGGATTCCTTGCCCTTTAAGAGCTAAATGGTTCAAGGTTTCTGGGACAATTACTAGATTTCTTGACTTGCATCATAAATAGTAATTCAAAATCCTGCACCAAAAAGTCGGAATATTTGGCACTAGTTCCTCTAAATTCATGCATCAACATAAGAGACTCAGATGAATGTTCATCTTGTAGGTCTATACACCTTTTCATTAACTCTCAGGATCTTCCTGTGACTGGTTTAAAGTTATGATTTTTTTAATGTATGAGATATTAAGTACAATATTGTCTGGTATAATTAGATCTGTAGGTGGAAACTAAAGCTCTAACTGGTCATAGTATTAAAAGAACTTTAATTTATATATCACTTTACAGGTTTCATGATTATAGCTGTATGTGTATAAGTACATACATGCTTACATACATATATATTATCTTGTTGCTGTTGAGTGGCCTTTTTTATTGGTTTCTTTTTATTAGTATATGTTTACAATACATAATAATTAGACTCAGTGATCTTATACAAATCAGATCAAATCTGATTCTTACTTAAATTCCTTCAATAACTTTCACTCACATTCAGAATAAAAAGAACTCTCTATTCTCTTTGAACTCATTTTTTAAAATGTTTGATTCCTATACTTAGTTATACTCCAGGTGGTCTCTCTTTGGTTTTGATTTTACAAACAACAATACTATTTCTACCTCAAGTCCTTTTTTATCCTTTTATCTCATTTGCTTTTTGGTCCTTACTGCTTAAATTCATTTTGTTGGTTTACTTGTTTATTGTTATTGCTTAAATTCCTTTTGTTTCTTTACTTCTTGATTGTTGGTTTCCTCCCTAGACTACAATGTAAGCCAACGAGAACAGAGACTTAGCTCTGTTCATTACTATACACTGCTCCCAGAACTTTGCATGGCACTGAGCAGGAAAACTAATGAATTAGTTCTTTTGATAATGCCTTAATGTTTTTGCATAGGAATAGATTTTCTAACCTCATTTTATTTTCTGTAATAATTTCATCTACTCCTATGGATTTTTCTACTGCTCTCACTATTTTCTTCCAGTCTAGATCTTTGTTTATGAGATAACCAGCTCTAAACTATATTTGACGTTTTTGTTTCCTATTGCTGCTTTTTAAATTTTAACTTCTCTAATCAAGATACCCTTAACCTTTGTTCATAGGAACCAAAAAGACCTATAAAATGCTTGTAATTCTAAGTTACCAGTATGTGTTGCCAATTTTAAAACACATTCTTCTTTTGGTTTTCCCTTTTTCCTTACTTCAGTCTCCCAGTTCATCATTCCTACTTCTTATTATTTCTTAAACAAACTATCTATGGACAAGCCTTTGGCTCTGGCTGTACTTTCAAAGCCTACCTACCATTTCCTATTGCATTACCCCAAGAACTACAAGACTTCCTCCCAGAGTTTCTGCACCCTGAACCTAGTACAGTTTGGCCAGTTCCCAACTTGGGAATCAGAGACTGGACCATTTCAAAACTTCAGAGGGCCGTATTTTGACAAGAGATTTGCCTCTACTTGGAAGGCATGCAGCTGTAGTTGCTCCCTGTGTTGAATCTGACCTGTGGGTCAATGACTTCTTTTTACTATTACTGCAGTTATTTTCAAAATATGGTTGCAATATAGATGCTGTGCTTATTATAAAGTATCTCTCCAAAATATTTGTTCTCTACTCTATCATAATTCATGACTTTTGATGCATTAAATTATCATAAAGTACCATAATAGAGAACTGAAAAAACTCTCAATACTTTCTAATTTGAAAAACATGATTTCTGGTTTCCAGTGAAGATTGTTGCATCCCTAAAATTACCTTACATCCTAGAATATGCACTCATTCTATCACATTGTCACTTGGATTTACTTGGGGAAAAAGTGATACTTTCTGCAAGTGGACATCTATCAGTGTGTGTGTGTGTGTGTGTGTGTGTGTGTGTGTATCCATCTGTGTGTCTGTGTGTGCGTGCGCATGCAACAGTTCACTCTAGGGTGCATCATCCTGAGAAAAAGCACAAATCATGACTACTTGGGAGCAGGAAATCGGAAACATTTCCTTTAGAGAATGCATATTGCTTCCCACTTGGGAATATCTTTTAAAATCTCATTATCCCTTTCTGCTTTTATCATATGCACAGGTGGTTAATACATACACTCCAGGAAAGAAGATTTGGCTTGAAGGTGTAGTGACCACCTCAGCTGGAGGCACAAATAATCTATCAGATTCCTACGCTGCAGGATTCTTGTAAGTGACGTTTGCAGTTTCCCTCCCAGAGACTTTCAGGAAAGAAAGACAGTGAAACTGACATGGTGGTTATGCTGCCCACTGCAGGGCAAAGTTTGTTTCTCTTCAAAAGTTCATCAACTGTTCATCTGTAAAAATTTCAACCACCTAACAAGTTATTAGTGCCTTCTCTACATCCTAAAAATCAGACATGGCCATCAGAGCAAAGAGAAGAGGAAGAGTAGCAGTAAAAATAATAAAAGGAAGAATTTTATTTAACAAGTCTGCAATTTAAACAACATACATTATCTTATCAATTTTTACCATAAATTTGGAAGATGGATAACAACACAAGACTTTTCCCCTCCAGAAATGTGTATCTGGAGGACCTAGGATAAAAGCTAACTACACTGTAAACTGCTGAAGATAAGTATCTCATAATAATACTTTATCTATTGTTTACCATTTACCAAGCACTGTCTAAAGTGCTTTATATGTATTTAATAATTTAACAATCAATGAAATCAATGCTCTTGTTTTAATAGTAAGGTAGTGAAATAGATACTATTATTAATTTCATGTTACATTTAAAGGAATTCAAAGAATTGAAGTAATTCACCCAAGATCATTCATTTAATTAGTGGCAGAACTCAGATCCAAGCCAGACAGCCTGCTCCAGAGTCTTGCCTCCTCACCACTGTGATTGACAATATCTCATTCAAATGGTCCTTCCATATGAGGAAAGGCTCCATGAAAGTAGTGGCATTTGAGTAGACCATAAAAGAATTACTCTAGTTTCAATAGGTGGAGAGTGGTAGAGATGACAGAGGGAGATATTGCAGACCAAAGAAACATTATGGGCAAAGGCACAGCGGAGAGGGCAATGGTAAATGTGACTAAGGCCTTGTTGTACGCAGGGATGTAATGAGAGCTGAGACTGGAGGAGAGCATTTACCACCATACCATGAAAGGTCCTAAAAATCAGCCGGATGAAAAAAGGCTATGTTCCATAATCATGGAAAACCACTGAAGATTTTAGGAGACAAGAGATATATAGTCTGACCTGTTTTAAAACTTTTGTTTTGACAATAGTATGCACAGGAGTTTGGGAGAGATGAGTAAATGAATTTATAGTCATAAGTTAGCCAGAAGCATAAAGGGCTTTGCCTGGCTGGCCTGTGTCATGTGACAGAAGGCAAACTCCTGACTCAGTGTACTGCTACTGTCGTGGCTTTTGGCTGAGCGATGCCCTTCTAAGAAATGTAGCTTTGCCTCAGAAATATGTTTTGCTACCAACAGCTATTCCTAATTATACAGATGCACTTCTCCTCCATTGAGATAGCTTCTTTAATAAAACTGTGAAGGACAAATCAGGCTAGCCAAATAGATTATCTTTGCAAATGGAATCTGTCAAATGCAATGAAGATGAGTCAGTGTAACTCATAGTCATACCTTGAGTCCATCTCTGTATTTTTAGCGTCTAATATTGTGTGGCACAGAACATTTAGCAGTGCCTGGCACATATTAGATATTAAATAAACATTTGTGGAATGGAAAAATAGTGGCTGGGATAGCATCCTTGCTAGGATATATGGGTCATTTTACCAACTTTATTCTCTACATGAGCATAGAAGGTAGTCTTAAAAGACTAATTTCCTTTCCCTTCAGGCTTATTATTATAGGAGGAAGATAAATATAACTTCAATTTTAACCATTCTATAGCAATGGTCAGGGGCTGGGGATTTAGTTCAGTGGCACAGCACCTGCCTAGCAAGTGCAAGGTCATGAGTTCGATTCCCAGTACCGGAAAAAAAAAAAAAAAACAAAGCAATGGTCCTGGCCATGGTCATTTTTGAGTGCTCTAGATTCTAGATGTGAGTAGAGAGCTGTGGGTTTGCAGGGAAGGATGCATATTCTTTCCTTTCACTTCAGAGTTTCTTCAAAAACTGCTCGTACACTAGCAAAAAATCGGATTAATTGATGTTTATTTGTTTACCACTTAGTCTATGCAAACCATAGTGTTAGGCTCTGTAGAGATCCTAAATAAGATTTTGTTTTTGTTTTTGTTTATTGTGGTACTAAAGACTGAGCTGAGGGTCTTTGTTCTGTGCTATATCCCCAGTGCTGCTCTTATTTTTCATTTTGAGATGACGTCTCACTAAGTCGCCAAGTTTCCCAAACGGGGCTGGAAATTGTGATCCTCAGGCTTCAGCCTCCCAAAGTGTTGTGATTACAGGTGTCCACCACCATTCGATACTGTTCTTGAAAATGTTAGATATACAGGTATTTGCATGCCCAGTTCTTTCTGACTTGCACAATCACTCAGCATTTCTGTTTGTATACGCAAAACAGAAAAATGCCTTGCATTTTATTATTGATTAATTAATGTTCCTAAATAAATAATGAGTGAACAAATGGGATTTTTTGCATATAAAAGTGCTAAGATGTGGATTTGCATTATACAGATGTTGCTAAATAGAGGGGCTTACATATATAATTATGTGTTAACTCACTTTACTCTGCCTGACCTTAGTTTCTTTCTTCCTGTAAAGCAGTTAGATTTGATCATCTTTGAAATCTCTTATATCTGCACATTCAACACTTAAAATAATTTTCTCCCTTAAAATTTTAGGTAAGTTTGATGGTGGATTGTTGGTATATACATATACTGTGTGCCTAAGATAAGTAGAGCTTGTCATATGCTATTTTTAAAATGTACTGATAGAGCTTTCTTCCCTCACTTTTTAGATGGCTGAATACTTTAGGAATGCTGGCCAATCAGGGCATTGATGTTGTGATACGGCACTCATTTTTTGACCATGGATACAATCATCTGGTGGACCAGAACTTTAACCCATTACCAGTAAGTGGGACAGAGATTTCCAACTCATTTTCCATATCATTCAGTTCTTTTGATCATGCCTTTACACTAGGAGACTATTTCTCCTTTTACCATTGCCAGTTAATTTAAGAAATCCAGAAGAAACCAGATCAGTCATCACCCATTGCTCCCTCATGGCAGTTTGGGGTACTTCTTTGGGGAGGTTGGGCCCTGTTATAGGCCGCTAAATTAGATAAAAATATTATAGGCAGTCAGACAGGGCTAGATCCTCAAAGGAGCCAGTGCAGAAGATGGAATACATTGCAACTGTGGGGAGACAGAGACACCTCCGCTGAGGGCCAGACCTCAAGACAAAAGATGAAATGAATTCACCCACATACTTCCCCCAAGGATAAACAACAGTGAATGCTATTCTAAATAGGTATCCATCATCGTGGGAAAGCCAGGAAGAGCAACTGACCCACCCCTTCCAGAAAAGCCCCTGTTATATTTCATGTGACTTGCTTCCCCATTTGATCCCAATATAATCAATATTACCTGAGCAATTATGCTTGTAATCTTATTGGTTGACCATAGTTTTGTCCCATCACATGGCCGCCTTGTGATTTCCCATTTTTTCCCCCACCTTGGACCCGTCTCACCTCGTGGTTTTGCTCTGTAAAATCCCTAGAAAAGGCAGGGTCCTGGGCCACTCACTCAGGACCCCTGCTATCTCTCAGACAGCTTTCTTTCCCCAGTAAATATATTCTGGTCTTAGAAAAAAAAAAGAAATCCAACAGATGCCTTCTTGTCTTTATTCCTTTGACCCATTTTACAGAATTTTGCCTTACACGCATAAACACACACACATATACACACACACCTACATGTACACATATACATATAAATGTATTAATATACATTTATATATTTATATATTTATTACTATTATTTTAATAAAACTTGTGCAACTGAAATTCCAAATCTACTTGTGGAGTGTTTGAACTCTGCTTGAGAGTGAATTTTTCCAGACTGTTTTCTTTTAATGCTAATAGGAGACATTAGTTAATGTCAAATGCAACATGTTGAAAGCAGATGGGGGGGTAACCCACTTTCCAGGCCCTTTCTGTCCCTCTCAGACAGAAGCTTTCTTTCTCTCAATAAATTCTTCCTACTCTTAAAAAAAAAAAAGAAAGACAGAAAGAAAGAAAGCAGATGGGAAGTATTAACCAAGATCATATATAGTAAAAGTCCATCTCTTAGGGAGTGGCTGAAGTACACTTACAGTTAGATGTTGATCCCGGTGTGACAGGGTAGGATTTATTCATAGCACTAATTTCTCTAGGAAAGTAAAGGAACAGGGAAAATAAAATAGAATGGCAAAAGCAGAATTCTGGATCTGACTAGTGACCTATTGGCCAATCAGAGAAACCCCACAGAGTTCAGGGAAGCTATGTGGGTAATCCTTTTACACAGACATCATAGTCATAACATAAGGTCAGACTCCTCTAAATAACTCATAGAAATTCACAGTGGGGGTTCCCCTTCGAGATGATCTAGTTCCGCCCCATTAATGAGGAACTGAGCCTAGATTATGGCAAGAAAGAGGGAAGATAGCGACAGCCTTCAACCCTCTTCCTGTGCCTTGGTCTAGGGGCCCATAGGGAAAAAAACCGTAACAGTGAATGTTTTCTGCCCCTTGCTTCCTTTTGCCTTTCTCTAGCCACTCCGTCCACCTTCCAAACCCAGCGCCAGGAGGCCTCAAAGCCCAGAGCAAGAAACATCTTGGTTCCCAACAGCCCGTTTGCTTCCATGTCTCAAAATAACCTCTATAGGTTAGAGTACATAGTAATTATTGTACCACTGGGGATACATGACTCCAAGACTCTACTTAAATCATAAACATTAAAACTAACCGGCACTCGCCTGCCTGGCAAGCGCAAGGTCGTGAGTTCAGTTCCTGGTACCGGAGAAAAACCAAAAAAAAAAAAAAAAAGAATTAGGGGCTGGGGATTTAGCTCAGCGGCAAAAGCACTTGCCTGGCAAGCGCAAGGTCGTGAGTTCGGTTCCTGGTACCGGAGAAAAACCAAACCCCCTCCCCCCCCCAAAAAAATAAAACTAACCGACACTGTTGCTTTCATTCACAAAACAAAAATACCTCTCTTGTATATATGTAGGGCTGGGGTGGGAAACGGCGGCATAGAAGTTTTCAGTTTGGAATTACAGCATTTTGTTTTCTTTTGTCTTACCTCATATATTTGTTGAAACAAAATAATTTGAAAAGTATAAAGTGTAAGCATTAAACAACTATAAAATTACACAGTCTATTTGAAATAAGTATAAATTGTTGAACAGCAGGCCCTGAGGAGGGGGCTACTAATACATAAATGAGTAAATAGATATTAGAGTACTGTTCAGTGCTTCTGCAGAGTGGCCGTACAGGAAGGGTTTCTGGGAGAAGGTGACAGGAAACCAGGAGCCCAAAGGCAATAAGAAACCAGCTGTGCAGATTTCACAGAACGAGAGGCTGACACAAAGGCCCCAGGGGAGGAACAAGCTTGGCTGTCCGTGGAAACAAGAACACCAGAAGGACTAGGGTGTGGCAGGGCAGGAGAAGACTGGTTGAAAGTGAGGTAGGCAGGGATCAGAACTTGCCAGGCAGTTCAGCTTTTGTACTTAGTATGAAAAGCCAGGGGATGGCTTTCATCAGGGAAGTAACATGATCTAACTTACATTTTAAAAAGATCACATTAACATAATCAATGCGTCAAATGTTATCACTTTTTAATAATAATGAAGATAATTTAGAAGCCATTTTTTTTATAAATGGTACATCAACAAAGCTGCAAAAGCTGTTCCCCCTTCCCTATGCCCTTTCTCTTCCTTTTCCTTTCTTTTCTTCTTTCCTTCATTGAAGTTTTATTCACTCTTCTTGATCACATCTATGGGTTTATTGCTCTTCTTGGCAATGGGCCACTACGTGACCAGAATAAGTTGCCTGGAGAATGCTTGGAGCTTATGATGCAGTGCAGTGGTGGCGAATGTGTGGCACGCGTGCCCCAGAGGGCTGTTTGTATCATTGAGAGCTCTAAAAGGTTTCACCATTGCTGATGTAGTGTGTTGTACTGAGATGTGGGAAATAAGTAAACATATGAACAAGGTAATTATCATTTGTCATAACTGCTCTGAAGAAAACCCGGTGAGATAAATAAACCTTTTTTAAATGTATGCTGCTGAAAAGAAACTAAAACTCTAGGTTATTAAGTGAACATCCAAGGCCAGCCAAGCAGTAAGAGCTGGAACTGTCTGGGTTTTCCAGCTCTAAATCCTATTTTCCCTTCATTGTACCACACTGTTTCTTTCAGTACCCTCTTAGGTCTTTGTGCCTTAAGGCAAATTTTACCTGGAGGTAAAATTGGGCCTTCGGGGGAAATGCAGCGCAGGAAACATACTAGAAAAAAATGTTCTGGATAACTAGACAGACTTCATTTGCAGAGCTGGACAAACCTAGCTTCCTTGTCAATCCTTTTCATAGTTTTTTTTGGCCATGTATAAGTTAAAGAACAAAGTTTTCATGTCTTTGTTCTCCCACAATGAGAATTACTGCCAATGGCTTCTTTTAAAATTATGGCAGTAGATAACTGTGGCAGCCGGGCTCAAAGAAGTCCATAGGAAGCTAAAATAAGTTCTACTAAGTTAATACAAAGGCTCAAATAGCTATATTTCTGAAAACATCAAGTCCAATAAAGAAACTATATGTAAAAGCACTTAAAAATGTAGCCACCTTTCTTCTTTCTTTGGGGTAATAAACTCTGCACCTTAGAAGTAGAGCAATTGCAGCTGGGAGTTGTCCTAAGTCTCCCCTGGAAAGAATTTACAAGGCTAGCAGTGTACCAATCTGACAGACATTGTCAGCAAGCCCCTGGAAGGTCGAATGGAGACAGACCTGGGAATCATATTTGTTGCCACTACAGAGAATTGTGCAATTGATAAGCAAACACTGCCAATAAAAATTTGTAGAATTCACACCGTGATTAAACTGTCATGAGAATTTGTTAACAGTTTAGGGGATTAGTGAGTTTGGTTGCCTCAGAGGAAAAAAATCAGTATTTTCTATTCCAATTTCTTCAAACCCTGCTTAGCTCATTTCAGGGAAGGATGTTCTTAGCAAACTCTTGTTTTTATTTTGTTAGTGCTCATGGATAAATTTAGAAAAAGTGAGCAGCTTGGCCTAATCAGCCTTCAAGCCGTATCCCATATTACCCCTCCCCCTGCCTTCTGACCTTCTATCCTTGCCTGTGGCATTCCAGCTCAGCTATGGCAGGGCCATTCCTGTAGCTCCAGCCCATTACAATGGTGGGTCCCTATTATCACTGTACATTTGTCCAGCCATGTAGAATGAATATCACTACCAGAAAACTCTACTACAGAACTAATGAACTGTGGACTTTTGGTGTTCATGTGTCTGTACAAGTTCATTAAAAGTAGCATTCTAGTAGGGGATGTTGATAATGGAGCAGACTGTATAAATATAGGAGTATGGAAAATACAGGGCACCTCTATGCAGTCTGCTCAATTTTGCTGAGGACCTAAACCTTCTCTAAGAAAAAAAGTAGTTAAAGGGAAAAGGGGAAAAAAGAGAAACCTATGCTCAGAACTGTACCATTTTCAAGTGGATCCCTGTTCTTTATGATTATTCCTCCAGAAAGTGCCAGCCCTCTTCCTGTTGTGAGACTTTCCTCATCCGGGGAAGAAGAGAACATTTAGTTCAACTGTGCTTCATCACTCAACTTGCACTTCTTTCCCCTGAGCCCACCCTGTGGTCATTGGGAAACAAGGGACATGTGAATCTGCACAGCCAGTCAGTCATGCGCTCCCCTGGGAGTCAGCGATGTTTGCGCAGAAGAGATCTGCACATGCAGTGGACGTAGTCCAGACCCCACCAGCTGTGGGCATTTTGCCTCATACAGGGTTTTAGGATTTAACCAGCTGCTTTTCTAAGAGCTTGATTTATAGAGCTTTCAGAGAAAGGAATGGTGAAT